ATGCCGATTTATAGTGCTAGCCCACTGAGATACCATGCCGCAGTTTAACATGAATACCCCACTCAGACACAGTACACTGACTCCGAGCCGACCAGTCCTTGTTTTAGCCCCTTAATGCCGAGCACCAGACAGGGTAACAACAAGTACCACCTTTTACGTCTTTTGGTATGACGCGGCCGGAGATCGAACCCCGGACCTTCCGCTCTACGGGCGAACGCTCTACCATTAGACTACGGAGGCGGTCCCGATGATGTGCATACTACTGTAACCCATTAGCTTAATAGCGTATATATGTTAAAGTAAAGGTGAATATAGGTATGGTAAAATAAGACCTTTGAAATATGAAAAATATTAGAATTATCTTCCTTTTTTCGTCAGTGTACTTTGGAAACCAAATCCACAGCAAGTCATCTGATCTGCAGTTCTATGAGTCTTCGGATGTCCAGATTTACACCAGGAAAGATAAGGTTCGTTTGCTACATGTACGTGTTATGGGAACGCGGAGCAGAGATTTGTTTCCCCACTTGAAATACTTGTAAGGTTGAGTGTAGAGTTGCACCATTCGGGCGCCAGGGCTGTTGTGACGAGGCATGGCCATTCAAACCACCTAGGATTACGGAAACCGATGACCTACTTCCATGTGTTCACCGCGACGTTAAGAGAAATACTTGGACACAAACAAGTATTAGTTTTGCCACACGGTGTTTATTCGTATTTATACAATCAAGAGGTATTGTTTCCTTTGCAACTCAGTATTTTTCGTATGTCAGCAATATCTATCTATCTATCTATCTATCTATCTATCTATCTATCTATCTATCTATCTTCATTGGGGAAATATATACTGGTAATAAAACACTGACTGTAATGATCCCTTTAATTTCGTTAATGGCTCTGCTAGTATCGGATTATGGATAGCTCGGTATAATTTGAGAATTTAATGAGAATTAACTGTATTACAAATTTTCGTGAAACCAGCATTATTTACCCGTACATTTTTTTGCAATAATTTACGATTGTTTTTAGTTGGTTCTTTTTGTTCTTTTTTGTTAACTGGTGATGACTATTATAAGATACACAGTACCATGGTTTCGTATCATTCAAACAATTTTATGAGGTATTAACGAATGACTAAATGACTAATCAATGATGCAGTTTTTACAATCTAAGATAACTGTAAATATATATTATAGATATATCAAACGTCAAGGCAAGAGAATAACCAGTCTCGATTAACCGCAGAAACAGATTCCATTTGGCGAGAAGGGAAAGATATCTGCAAAAATTATAAAAATGGACTGCTGAAAATCAGTGATGACACCAGGTGTTCGCGAAAAGGGTAAGCATGTCCTGCCCTACCGGTAGCACCCGCCATTCACGTTGCATCTTACCGGATTTGTGATATAAAGGGATGATAGTGAGGTGAGGTGGAATGGGGTTTAACGTCGCGTCCAAGATTATTGCACTTATATAGCGACGCGGTGATACAAACACATTCTTAGAATCGACCAAAACTTTGAGACATAAATACTTTCGACATAAGCGTGTGATTAATTTAAGATTAATCTAACATGCGGTTTCTACTGAAGATGAACTTGAGGATAGCAATACTTCGATATACAAGTACAGTAAACTACGTTTATAACGAACACGGTTATAACGAACTGACGGATATAACGAACCTATTTTTTAAGTCCCGGCCATTTCTTGTATATATGCTGTATATATGCTTATAACGAACTACGGTTATTACGAACTAATATTAGTGGTCCCTTTGAGTTCGTTATAACCGTAGTTTACTGTACTATAACACAACAGGATTTTCGATCGAACGTTATGACATACTTCGAGTCAACAGTATACACCTCGACAACATGCATTATCAGAACCTAATATTTAAAAGAATCAAATGTGAATTATTTAGTGTCAGGCATTGTGTATGTAGTCAGTAATGGCGAATATCAATCCAAGCTGAAGTCACCTCATAAAAAAACCCGACCCGGATTTGCACTGGTCTTCAGAAACCCATGCTTGTTGAATCGGGATCGGGTGGCCAGGCTCGCTGACTTGGTGGATGCATGTCATCGTATCCCAATTGCTTAGCTCGATGCTCATAATGTCAATCTCTGGATTGTTTTGTCCAGACGCACTTATTTACAGACCGCCGTTATAAGTTGGAATATTGCTGACTGTTGCGTTAAACAACAAACGAATAAAATCATAAGAATAAAACATCCAGCAACTAAACATGGCTTCAGCTGTTCACGCATTTATTTCTTTAAATATGCTACACCATACAGTCATATATCACTCACACGAGTGCTGAAACCTGATATACAGAACGAAACACCCCTACGTCTCGTGTACAATTACAATGCAGACAATACACACAATTACCAGCTTGCGCCACAGCCGTAATCTTACACATAGGAAGTCATTATGCAGATACGTAGGTACATGTACTTAACTATCACACGTTCGCAGATTGTTGCAACGTTACGTCATTCAAGTGAGTCACCGGATGAAGATGCTTGACAAATGACCGATTTTAGGATCTCAATCACCGTGACACGTGATGCAATTGTTTCTGTTTTAATTCATATAGCATTGAATCATGTTTAGCATCGTAAGGTAATGCAACAGACGTGTGTGCCTATAGCAGTTTTCAATAATGATTCAACTGTTCCACAATTATTTCGTACAAGACTTGCCTTTGCAGCCTGAATCATGCATACTTGTCGCAACTACATTGCTATTGACATTTGACTACATCACTGATGTAAACATATTCTCAATACAGTGAAACCTCGTTAATCCGGAACGTAATACACGCACTGAACTCGTCCGGATTAACACAGTCCGGATTAATGAGTAACCGAGTAACCTTTGAAGCATATACTGGCGTTGTCTAGATGATCCTCCGGAAGGAGGGTAGCCCGAATTAATGGGGTTCGGAGTAATGAGGTTTCAATGTAAACTGAAAATATATATCGTAAACAATAAATCAAACACGGTGTGCACAAAATAACTTTCACACATAGCATACAATATAATAAACAAACAAAAAACTGTGACTTGATATTTAAAAACATAGGCGCTAATGTTTCTACATAGTATTGAAATTTGGTCTCCGCATAAAGAAAGTCGTATACCAACAATGGATATCTCCTGCTACAAGCGGTAGATCGTGACGCTAAAGGTTTTGGTTTGTGTCCCTGCAGGGTACAATGATTAAGGGGTTTCCTGTTAAAACACCGCCTCCGTGGTCTATTGGTAGAGCGTCATCTCGGAGAGCGGAAGGTCCGGAGTTCGATCCCCGGCCGCGTCATACCATAAGACGTTAAAAAGATGGCACTTGCTGTTACCCTGTCAGGCGCTCGGCATTAAGGGGCTAAAACGAGGACTGAGTGGGGTATTCCTGTTAAACTGAGGTTAAACTAGCACTATAAATCGGCATCAGTCCGGACTAGCACAAGCAGCCACACACACATGTGCATGCACGTTGCTATATCCCCTATATATTTCCTACGTCTTCTGACCCTTACAACAACACTCATACACCCCAGACACAGATTTAAAACAAAATGTAGCTTTGTTATTCCATTTACCAATAACCACCTTAATTCTTACCCATTCCTAACAATAACGCACGCACAGTTACAAAAATAGGTTAAAATCTGTAGGCCAATTTTACAAAATATTCTAGTTTTAAAATTAGGTATACAACAGATATGCACGTATAGATAAGTCAGTTTTTCATGCTTTCAGACAACCTTAACATATTAATATATATTTATTATTTGGGAATGTGAACACTTTTTCTATTAGTATTGCAACTATAATATTGTTTTGTGTCATCTGTATATTCAACTGTATTTGTATTAAGTGTCATATTAACTTGACCAATAATGAACAATTGTATAAAGATATCATATTCCACTTAAATCAAATGGTAAGTGTTGGATAAATTGTCTTTTTACCTAATAATGTATATAAAATAGCACTTATTTAATGCAAAACATTTTCACTCTCACATGTCTGCTGAGTGAAATGGTTCCGTGTGAAAAGACAATGGAAATATACATGAATGAAAAAGGTTCCGACAAATGGACAAGTCTCCTTCCAGGTATTGAACTTGTACCTACGTTACCTATGTACCCATGTTAGCCTTCCACTTCAGAATATCATACATTTTTCAAATCTTCCTACCAATAAAATAGTTTTAATGATTTGATTGAAAGTGATCCATAATCATTCAACAAATCCACAGTCATTTAGTTCCAAGTACGTGACTTGCCCTTGCAGAACGAATCATGTATGGTTGTCGCAACTAACTGCTAGGTACATATGTACAGACAACAGTACTGAAATGGAAAGATGCCCAATACAGTGAAACCTCGATAATCCGGAAGGTTCTGTACTCAATGTAATCGTCCAGATTAGCAAATTACATATTAAAGAGTAATTCGGGAAAGTGATCCATAATGAAACTGTTCCACAGTCATTTAATCCAAAGTACGTGACTTGCCTTTGCAGAATGAATCATGCATGGATGTCGTAACTACACTGCTATTGACAAAACCTCTGACCTCATTACAAGGCTGAAATGAATGATGTTCAAAACAGATACAGATACTGAGTTCTACACTCGTGTTTGCAAGTGCAAATACCAGCTTAAAACACATTTATCATTTAACTTAAGCATTTATCCATGACATAAGCTTATGACATAAAAAAACATGTATGTCATACCCCAATGACATAAGTATGCAAATTAGATATGCAAATTAGATAACCGGAAGAGCGAGCGGTTTGATTTGAAACTATATATTATAAGTGAAGTTACACCAGAGATATAATCAGATTACACAGAATCGTTGTTGTTACCGTTATTAAAGTTTCAATTATTCTGCAAAAGTCTGTTCACGTATTTTGTTTAAAATAATCCGAGGAACTTTTTTTCTCAGCGAATTGTTTATTTTGGTTTACATGGCTATGGAAAACATGTATCACTACGCACGATCTATAAGTAAGATTTCGACAAGTTGCTGATGTTAATGTTTAATGCAATTATTCCTTAATTTGGAAGCAAAAATGTGAAAATGATAAATAGAATTCATCACTCGTCTTTTTAAAGGCTCGGCAAATCCCGATTAATTAAGACTCGGTTGATATTTCCCATATTAAAAAACACTCGTGATGAATCCTCTATATATGACATTCAGGATGAAACACAGAGTGATATAAAACAAGGAGAGCATGCTCCAGGTCTGTACCTGTACACACTTTGTTTCATTGAAGTCATTATTAATATTTAGCATGATAATAATCAGCCGATAGAAAGTTATTGCTTCGAACAAACACATATGTTCGTTGCTATGTAATGTATTTCACGAAAACGCATACCACTAAGAGTACGTTCTATTCACTACACCGTGTGTGTATAGAAGTTATTAGTTCAATTTTTGTTTCAAATCATACTTAACAGCCAAATACACTTTCACGAAAACATTCACCAGTTAAACCCTGCTACAGTTATGCTTCATTCAATTCCTCGTAAGCTTTATCTGCAAGAAACGTATCAAAACACGATGAAAAAAGGGAAACGATTCTTGTTTCATAGATATCATATAATACATGTCATACATCCAATGGTATTTCAATAGTATTGGCTAATTCTAAATCCAAATTCCAAAGAAAGTATTGCAGATCTCAGATAAATACTACACTATGGTCGAACGCAAATCGGGTAGGGGAGAAGACGAAGGTCTATTACTGGAAGCACATCTTTATTTTGTTGCATCACCATCCACAATCCAATATATATATTTACAAATGCCAAACGTTTGACTTTGGGATCAGTTTCCATTGAAAACAATCATCTTGATGAAAACAGGTAATCATATCGTTTGCAACCATAACCATTGTCAACGATTAAGAAGTTCGTGAAAATTCAAAGTGTAAACAAAACGTTTGAATACCTGTCACATGCAATATTTTGTTAACGCTTTGTCATTTTGTTTGATTAGAGCATTTTTTCCAGACATTTTCCCAACAGAGGTGAATGATACACCGTCGTCGTGGTATTTTGATATATCGGACACACATTGCAAAAACATATACGAAGTCAATGTTATCTTTTCACTGAATACCCCAGATATTCCTAAGTACTCAATGTATTGTTTAGGGTAATTTATTATCTATTTCACAAAATCTCATGTTGAGTTATCTGTACATTACTTAAAATAGTCGATAGATTTGGCGAAGTTAATTTTTAGACTTTACCAACTATTTCGCACAAAGTCAATTGATGAAAGATATCGTAGAAGGACGACACACTTAAAGTAACCTTTTCAGTCCAAACACCACTTGGATTAAATGGCCAATTAACACAAAATTTACTTTCAATTTATGTTTTAATACTTAATATTAATTATAATTATAGCTCGCTGCATCTGATGTTGTGAGCATGTTCAGTTCATCTTCTGCAGCTTCCTGTTCTTTCTTCTTCCGTTGGTTGCGGGTCCACAGCCAAGCAAGGATGCCTATCACAATCATCCCCAAAACAATCCCAGCAGAGATCCCGATAATAAGGGGCATAACCCCTCCTCCTGTAGATTTCTTAGTGTTCCTTACATCTGCTACTGCTTGAATGCCGGCTGATGTTGTTGCTGCTGCTGCTGCTGACGTCATGTTTTTAACAGTAGCAGGTGTCGTATTGATGTCATTTCCTGTAAAAAGGTCATCGTCACCTGATGACGTAAAATTTTCATCCGGACGTGGTGACGTCGACTGTAGACCATGCGTGACGTATTGAGATTCTCCTTTGCGAGCGGTGACATTCCGATTGGTTGCGTTGGTTTGGGCCTCACTGGTGAAACTGTAGACTGATGTCACTGCCGAAGATGTTGAAGTTGACGTTGGCTGTTGTGTAGATGTAGGCGCAGTAGTTGTAGATATGGCAGGAGATGACGTCATTGAGACAGTTGGAGCCTTTGTGTTGGTAGAGAGCTTCGCTGAAAATCTCACTGTCGAAGTTTGTCTTTGCGGTGTTGTCATCTTCGTAGTGGTAGAAGTTGTAGATGTTGCTGATGTGCTTGTCGTTGTAGGTGTTGTTTGTAACGTAGTCAAAACAGTTGTAGTAATCGGAGCCACAGATGAAGTTGTCATAGGTTTAGCTGTCGTTGTCGCTGGTACAGGCAAAGTCGTTTTAACAGAGGGCACTATTTCTGTGGTGACGTTCTTGGCCATCTCACGTGTACTATTGGCAGATGTTGTGGAGCTGACACGGCCTGCAGTCACAACGCTGTCGGTAGTACTTGTCGTTACAGTCACAGTGGTTGTTGTTGGTGTTGTTGTTGTTGTTGATGCCATCGTCGTTGTAGTCACTGCATGAAATTGGATCAATTCAATCAACTATCAACAGCTACCCGTGGAACATATAGGATCATATTCAACAATATTTGTCTCCTGAGATGACTTATAATTCTTATAGGAGTTAGAAGATCAATAAGTGAAAAAATATGTAAAAAAAGGAATGCGTCATACAAGCTGGGTTATCTTCTAAATCCAATGTTCATCTGATTATTTTTAACTTCTAAACTCCATGCTTTTATTTAATTAACTTTCAATAAATCAATACGATATAAGATTTCATTTTTTGTTTCAATAATATTTAGATTATATTTCTTTTGTGGTATTTATTGCTGACAATTGGTCGAACACTTTTCAACGCACACTATGATGAAGAAAGACTTGTATGGTCAGAGTACAGTGGTTTGTTCATCTTTATGCACACGGGAATAACGTACCTTCTGAACAGTTGTACATGCGGAGATCATCAATGGCAATGTCGCTGACAAACGCCTCTTTCCTTGTGCCAACTATCACGATCTATGTGAGAAAACATAATGGCGACGTCAGATAACAATCCATCCAAAAGAATAAAAAATATTTAAATGTCATGTATGTTCAACAGGTCAACGCCAGAAAAGAAATTCAGTCTTGATTATCTGCCGGAACAGATTCCATTGGGCTAAAAATGCAAAACAGTGATAACAATTATATGAATGCATCTAGGAAATGAGTGATGACGACAGGCGAAAATAGTAAAGCATGTCCTTCTCTCAGGGCAGCACCCGCCACCCACACAATTTGCATTGAAAGTAATGAAACATATCACTGATATTATAAAATCAAATTTTATCTAATGACGCCAAGGAAGTTTCACCAAGAGTCGATAACTTATCATTCCTGTTAATTGATGGATACTTGCAAATTTATTTTAATGGTTATAGTGAGGTGAAATTGGGTTTAACGTCGCGTCCAAGATTATTGCACTTATATAGCGACGTTTTAATGGTTATAAGGGACAAAATAAACCTTCATGTATTAGCATATTATTCGCACATAGGAGACATATGGGCCACCTGTGGGGCAGGATACGCTCCTCTTTCGAGAATAAATACATGATCATGACATAGTAGGAATCATACAATAGACTCTGCTTTTAGATTTTGTATGATTATGGAAAAGGTTATTATTATTGTTCTTATTATATCCAGATTAAAATAAATAAATGGATAGGACTGAGGCTGTGTTATTATCATCATATAAGTTCTACCTTGAATATCTCGTCTTGGTCAGGGATCTTCACAAGTCCGCGATGCCACTCGTTTCCTTGATTCCCGTCTAGGTAAAACTCGGGATCGATTTCCGCTATGCTGACTGAAGTGGGTAGGATGTATACCTCCAGGCTTCCCACAGCTGAGGACATTGATTACCCAATACAATTGTCAGCCTAATGTGTAGCAATTATTACAGTGAGTGAGAGATTGAGTTTGGTTTAACGCCGTTCTGTTAAGAATTTCGTTTTATCAGCGCGTGTCAGTTTGTAGAAGACATAAATCCAATCTAATGGAAGCCATAATCAGTTCTAATGTTGGATTCGAACCCAGCATCATGGCTTTCTGTCACGTGAAATCCACGAGAACTGGTATGATGTGGCTAAGAGGCACCACTTTGCACACCGAATGTCAAGGCCTCAGTCCTTTGGGCCAGGTTACATTTAACATAGGCTTGCAATATAAACATGAATGGTCAGATTTCAATCGCTTTGATATTTTCTCCCAAATTAAACTGTTATATAACGAAATTCATATCGTACCGAGTATAACTAAATTGATCACTCATCTGTAGAGCTTTAATTTTTCGATTTTGATTGATTCGATACATATTTTAGTATATTCATTTACATAAACAACAAAACAATTTCAATATAATCGACTTAAAACGTATATTTATGGAAGTATTTCCGGAGACTCTCACCGTCGTCGTCCGATGGTCCCTTCATATGGTACCAGAACTCAAAGCACATGTTCCGGAGCGTGGGCGGGTAAGCGGGCGAGATAAGCCGAGCAGTATCTCCCGCCTTCCTTGGACTCGAACTCTCAATAAACAAGTAGAATCCTGGAGGTACACATACACAAATCGATAAGTTTGAACAACATAGACAGGGTGGATCACACGATGGCTAAATAACACAACGTTCTAATGTCCATCACAAAGGGAACATCCTAAATATTATAAGAGAGATAGTTTATGGGTGTCAGCTTCTTTATAATGAAGAACACAACGTTTCAGAGTGTATGCGTACTCCTTCTTCATGTGAATGAATGCTAGGATGCAGAGAGCGTATAAATCTGTACTTCTAAAATTTAGGACTTATGCACTATGCATCCATGCATTTATTCATGTGATGAAGGAGTATGGATCCGTGTGTGTCAGCAGTGCGTGGGAGTAATTCACGCCTTCATCATCTGATGCCAAGGGCAAGGTCACATTAGAATACAAACATGACTACTTACAACTTTACAATTACATTTCGAAGTCGTTTCTGTTTTGTGTTTGCTCATAACATATTTATTTAATCCTTTCACTTATCTATGTCTTTACTACTAGTATTTGTTTATTAATCTTGCCTCGTATTCGATATCAACTGGACATAAACAAATTCTTAGAGCCACCAGCTGTTACATTCTTTAAGTCAGCTGAACGGGCCATGTCGAGGATAATTATGTACTAGAACTAACATATGAGTGAGTGAGTATGTTTTTACGCCGCTTTCAGCAACATTCCAGCAATATCACGGCTGGGGACACCAGAAATTGGCTTCACACATGTAGGGAATGTAGGGAATGTACCCATGTAGGGAATCGAACCCGGGTCTTCGGTTTGACGAGCGAACGCTTTAACCACTAGGCTACCCGACCGCCCCTAACATATGAAGAAAGCAATTATATATATATTGTTGGGTATTACATAACATAGTTTGTTTTTAAATACTATGCAATTTGTGACGGTGGGAAATTACCCCAAGTAACAGAACTATCGTGACACTATTATCGATACGTTTGAATTTTTTACCAATTGGCTAACTCAAGCATCTACTCAATGTGAAGTACTGCTTAAACAAAGTAATTCGAAGGTTAGGATGCATGAAATAGTTCAATAACTCCACACAAAAACATCTTTTACTCTTTAAGTTTTATAAATCTATGAGAATATAGTTTTGGATATAACCAGATCGTTGACCAAAAAATGTAAAACGGGAACCTTCCGTTCTGGTCAATCTGATTCAGGTGTTCCAACCGATCACAATTGGACCAAGGGAACTTTTCCTTTTTTTATACCATTATAAATGATTCGCCTCCTGTAGTGGCATTTATATTTAAATTGATTATTTCATTTATTAATTTAGACATTTAATGGTATCGAGTAAATGACTTAATATACGTCAATGCATATATGTGTCAAAAGAAAGCTTCTGTACACCTCACAACATTGCACATAATAGTACATTTGACTTGGACATTTTGATCTTTATAAAACGCATGAAGTAGATCATAAGGCAAAATAAGTCACCAGTTGATGTAAATCTTTTAAGGAAAATGCGAGTTATGTGGCAGAAAATCACAATGTGATAAACAAGAACATGGTAACAATTTGAGTTCTTTGAGTAGGAGTATATTTCATTCTGGTCGGACAGTGTGACCATCCAGTTTAAAGGGATCATGCACAGTTGGTACCTGAGCCAGTGGTGTGGTCTCCGGGAGGTCCTGTACTCATTGTGGGCGTGGTCCCAGACATTCTCGTCCATTCAAAGTTGTCAAAGGTATCCTGACTCCACCCACAGATTCCCTCGTCTTCAAAGTCACACTCCATTGTGTAGCCACCTAACCAGAGAGCAATTTGCTTATTTAAGCATTTCACATATATATTAAATATTAAATACACCAAGATGACAGATCGTGATCATAAAAGACAATTATTTTGAACATTATTTGAGGTATCACCTCGTGGAAAAACCCTAAATGGTGCAGGTCATATACCAGCCTATGACCAGGGTATGCAAAGCGATAATACAATCACTTGCACAGTAATCGTCGTCAGTGACAGCGTGAAGGGTACATGCAAGTGAATTTACGTCATGAAAAGCAGTATGAAAAATGTAATAGGGTGTGTCCGGAAAGCTTGAAAGGCAAATCAAAATCAATTCAAAGCAGGCAACAATTTAAAATTTCTAGATAAAGAAGTCAATATGGGGAAATTTTAGATTAAACATTCATTGTACGCATTGCAAGCTGTAACTGAACTCCCATTTCATGTTCATTGAGAGCTTGGAGAAAAAACCCGTGTATAAACTCCAGTATACGCACAATGCGTCAGAACTGGGTGTATGAAAAATGCCACTGTTCTTACTGTCGCAGGTAGGAGGGTCTTCACTCCACTCTCGTCCGTTGCACGTGATGACTTCCGGTCCAGTGCGTTTGGTTCCTACTGGACAGGTAAACTTGAGAAGGGCGCCATTGTAGCTCGTTTCTACCTCAATCCGAGGGCTAGCTTCTAGGTTTGGAGGGGAACAACCGCGTGCTGGAAACAAAAAGTAGACGCATTTTCTTTCGGATGTTTGTGTTTCTCCTTTTGGGGGGAAGGGTGGGGGGTGGGGATTTAAATATTACGACAGTTACTTTAACACCGATGCATTTGACCTGGTTGAACACATGGCCGCTTCCGGTTTGAAAGCAAGGTTTAGAGTGCATACAACGATTCCCGGATAGCACATAGCACATATTCTGATGTCAACAAGGCAGCAGGCGAGACGAACTGGGACAATTTGGCCGCCCCGATGCACTAATGGCAATATTTATCGTATGCATTCAAGAGCTCAGATTCGTACATTGACAAGATGTCCTGCTGCTATCAAATCTCTTTACTGAAATATTTTAGCAAGTGAGTCTGGCGGTTCTATTGTGATTTCAAATTCAAATTCACATTGTCACCACTTCCAGTGCAGTTATAGATGAGGACACACTTACTACAAATCATATCGGCATTGCGAGAAAAATAATTTATCCATCCTTCATCCAAGCTACATGTATTTATTTAGTGGTTAAGTTAAGTGTGAGTTCAAATAACTTCAGTGTTAGGGGAGTTTTTTAGGGTAGCTTGGTTTTTGGCAAATAGTAATCACAATCAATGTCATATATGTTTGACTTATTATTTCTTAACATTTCATCTGGTACTATAATTATAACTATAATTTGCGCCGTAAAAACAACACAGTTATACTTTTCGCTCGCATAACTTTTCAAAACTCCTTTACTCCAGGTGCTATCCGTTACTGGAACTCCATGATTAGGAAGGAAATAATATCTTTGTCGCATTTGAAACCAACAAAGGTTCATGACTACTTCGAGTGTGGTAAATAATGTTAACACACTACAGACAAGATTGAGGCATAACTGTAGTAACATCAGTGCTGATTTATACAGAGTAAAGTTATCAGGTCAAAGTTGCTGCTCTTGTAATTTTCCATGTAAAAACTAATGTCACCTTTTCTTTGAATGTACAAATTACTCATTACACCCAAAACGCTTTTAAAAGAAATTATAAAATAATTCTTTGGGGCGATAAGGAATCATCATAATTATGATACCGATATTTTGAATTTTAATTCTGTTCAAAAATACAATATAACAAACAAACGATTTTATTAATCATATCATATACTGTAATTACACTTGTGAACTCCATTGTTTCTGCTTCTGTTTTTTTTAATTATCAAGTTTCAACAGATGATGTATTTTTTTTTAGTATCCTATCAGATGGGTACCCCCTTAGCTAAATCATCACTGATCTCATGAAGGCAAACATGTGTAAACTTCATTTCAACGTCTTGATATTCCAATTAGGAGAGGACATCGTAAGTGGATCACTTTTACTCAATCCTATTGCGTTTTGTCAAGCCAATATGGTCAAACTATGTTTACTTTCGAACTCCTTCTTGTAGACTTCATGTCTCATGTACACATACGTCTTAAACTTTTGAACTACAATTATGTCTTTTGTGCACAAAAATATATTCTAATGTATTATTCATTAATCATGTTAATATATGTTATATGATAGTTGTGCTCACTGTGTGCGATAGTTATATTAATATTATGTAATATTTGGCTATTGTTAATAATCTGCTTAACTTTAGTTGTTTTAAAATCAAATCAAGTAGTTTTACAATTTCATAATTCTCTCAAGACAATAAATTTTAAAAAGATATACAGAGGAATCATGTTTTTCTTGCCAAATAACCATGATAACATGTACTATTCATCTCATTCTATGATATGACAAAGTTGATATTTTCATGAGTGACACAACCACAGGCAAATCAACGTTGGCAAATCAAAAGATGAGATAAAGAATTTATTTAAATATATGTATTTTAGAAGACGGCATATCAGACACATGTCACTAATAAACAAATCTAATGTTAATCAGAGTCATATAAGTAAACCCCCACACATTTTGATATGTATGGTCTAGACAGTAGAATTGATTTTAATTATTTGGTTTACATGTCCAAATTAGAATAATATAAACACATTTTGCTAAAAGAAATTATTTAAATGTATTGTCAGGTTTGTGGCACAGAAACAAAATGGGATGATAAGTCAAATCATTATTTCCCCTTCCCTACTACTATTTACCCACTTTGACATTGTATAAACAGACTATGGGAAGAAAACTAATTGCCAAAGATTCTATTATATTCCATTACTGAGGGTAAATTTTGGGATGGGTATAACCCAAGGAATAAAAGAAACACTACCTACATATGTTTGCTGAAAGATAACGTTTTTAAAATTTGGTAATATCTGACATTATTTAATGGATGAAATAATTTTACAGTGAGATAATCCCCTTCAGTACTTTAAACTTTGATTATCTCCCTTAAGTATGCTTAACTTGAAAACAAGAAATATCATTATCTACATGAATCATATAGTATATATACTAAGCAATTAACAATATATAGCATTTTCATCAAAACAGTTTTCAAGATTATTTATGTGTATATATATATGTCTAAATACACATCAAATATTTTAACCTCTTTACACGCAATAACTGTTTATTTGGTTTTATCTCATTCCATTGAAATATTATTACATGATTAACCTGCATCAATTACTGGCTGAAGTAGATGTATCATCATAATTTGTGTCTGGTATCTCATCAATACTTTTAGACAATAACTGTATTAACATTCTCCATTTGGTTATTAATTATCTATCATATGATATTCATATTCTTTTCTTATAAATCTAATTATAACTGATATTATGCATTGCCATGCACTTTGACATGCATGACATAATATGATTCGGCTAAGTGAGTAATGTTTGCAGGAGAAGTAATGTTTTACTTGACTTGACTTGAACCATAAAAGGTGTATTTGTGCCCAACACATCAAACAAGAGCAGTCTTTCATTGTGCCAACTGAATAGGGTTATTGGCCCTTCTGGATTTTAATTTTAAAACACGAGTAATTTTACTATTTTTGCATACATTCACATCGAACTTCTTTTGCGGCTGATTACGATGATATACATATAGGGTTGGTGTTGGTCAGGGGTACATTATACAGACGTGTACTCACATATACATATTGGCGTAGGGTGGCTCCAGGTCTCCGACTGAAGGCACACAGCAAACCTGTCCCCCAGTCTTGTATACCTCTTCTTGCACTTGAAGTAAGCAAACTTCCCCCTCGCCCGCATCTTCACGCGGCCATTTGGCAGGGATAGCTTCGGACATTTCCTACCTATTACACCGTAAAAACAAAGGCTCGGACTGCGGGTATTGATATCATGTTGATATGCCCACCACATGTATGCCAGAAGGATAACAAGGACACATTTAGATATATATGAATCAATCCTGTGGATGGACATTATAGGCTATGCCATGCCATAACATGTATGCTATTCCTATAACGCATACGTGATAATAATCATGCCATAGAATATCTCTATTATCGCGAATGGTATATACATAAAAGTGACAAAACAAACCCTTTCCATATTCATATGAAATCCCAGTTGTACGATTCCGACTATACCATGAGCAGGTGTTTATGAACCACTATCAAATAGTGATGATACAAGGCGTTCGCAAAAAATTGAGCTTATGCTGCCACACCGGTGTCATTTTAGTCAAATAAGAAATGTCCTCCACACACATGTACCTACCGTAAAACTTTTTGAAGGTTAACTGAAGCTTTGAATGTAACTTTGATCAAACAATTCTGAGCAAGAGTCGCTCTCCGAAAACTTCGGAGAAAGAGTATGCTCATCTGCACCTCAAACGATGTGAAATGTAGACATCAAAGGCTGGAGCTATTGCTCAGCATAAAGGGAAAGTTGACTTTTGGAAATACAGTCTTGTGGAGAGTGTTTTGTCACTGTGAATCTTTCATGAGGAACATTGTTTCATGGGCTAACACACACGAACGTATACGAGGAAGTGTTCGCTTTTGTTTCATTTCAAGTAGATAGTCCGACCTCAAGTAAAACCGCTGATGTACAGTAAATATTACCTATCATGCATTTCTGAATTTGCTCCCGAAAATGCTGCTGGAAAAGAATATTTTGTACCCACTGGTAATGGTTGAGGTTATAAACATAATGTGTTGTGGTTCCAAGCGCCTTATTTAGGAAATCCTGCTAGATTGTTTGTGTTAGTACAACCTGAGGCAAAATTATACATCATTTCGTTGCTCCATCTCGTCCAGAATATGAAAATAGTCGGTCCCTAACTACTGAAGTCCAGTAGCAGGAAATACGTCTTCAGCACAGAAGGCGTTAACCCACTTCACATTGTATTTCGGATTACTGTAAAATAATTAGTTTTTATCAAGTATTGAGGAGAGATAACTATTGGAATGAAATGAATAACCCAGCAAGCAAGAGGCAACTTGTTTCACTGTTGATCGTATTGTTTCAATAGATTTGTCTGTGTGTCTATTTAATACCGCCTTTTCATAAAGTTGGGATTGTGATGTGAAGTTAATATGGATATATATATATATATAACCTTTTTTACGCAATATATATATATATATATATATATATATATATATTGCGTAAAAAAGGTTATACATGTAGAAACTGAAGACAATATACCAATTAACAAAGGCGTTCATCTAGAATGAGTACGGCTCTGATTGCCCTAGTCCAGTGCTCGTGAACTGCGAGTGTATACCATATACGGGGAAGGAAGACATGATTTAACAAAACTTCCTGCTTGGGAAAACTTCCTGTTTTGCAGCTAACGGTAAGTGCAGAGAGGTTTATTATGATTCCGCCTGTCAAGTGTCAGGAGTGCCGAAAGATGATAACTAGTCATTTGGTGCTTGTTCTCTCTGAGCCTTGACGGACATTCGTCCTTGTTTGTCAGCAGCTTAATCAACGCCGTTCCCACATCCAATGTATCTGCTGTCACCCGTCAACAATTTTATTCCGGACTTCTTCACGTATATATATATATGTCGCCTGTCGACAGTTTTATTACGTACTGTTTCTGTATATAAGCTCTCACCCGTCAATAGTTTTATTACATACTGTCCCATATATGAGCTGACATCTGTCAACAGTTTTATTACATACTGTTTCTGTATATGCTGTCACCCGTCAACAGTTTTATTACTTACTGTTTCACATATATGAGCTGACACCTGTCAACAGTTTTATTACGTACTGTTTCTGTATATGCTGTCACCCGTCAACAGTTTTATTACTTACTGTTTCACATATATGAGCTGACACCTGTCAACAGTTTTATTACATACTGTTTCTGTATATGCTGTCGCCTGTCAACAGTTTTATTACATACTGTTTCACATATAATTGATGCCACATATCATACGTTTTATCACGTACTGTTTCTGTATATTCTGTCACCTGTCAACAGTTTTATTACATACTGTTTCTGTATACGCTGTCACCTGTCAACAGTTTTATTACATACTGTTTCTGTATACGCTGTCACCTGGCAACAGTTTTATTACGTACTATTTCATATATTTATGCTGTCATCTGTCAACAGTTATATTCCGTACTGTATGTATTTGACATATCCAGTATTTGTGTCCAATATGTGTCTGAGATAGTTCCTGTCTGTATCTCATATCGTAGTATGTGCTCTGTCTTCGTCTGACATGTGTTCTGTCAGTGTATCAAATTTGTGCTCTGTTGTCGTCTGACATGTGTTCTGTCAGTGTATCAAATTTGTGCTCTGTCTGTGTCTTATGTTTTGCCCAATCGGTGTCTGTCAATTGTGTCAAATGTGTCAAATGTGTCTGATATGTCTGGTCTTGGTCAGTTGTATCCAATCAGACAAAACCTTTCCTTCAAAATTTCTATTACAAAGAGTCGAGATTGGTAAGAAACCTTCCACAACCGTTAGGAATCGTCTACACAGCCACCGGTGGATATCATCCAGAACATCAAGCAAATGTCCAATGCATATCGAAGGACATAAACGGCGAAGATTGTCATATTGATGGACACATCATAATCAAATCATAATGTCTCTTCTTGGAGGAAAATCCATTTGTGAGACAATGTCAATTATTACTGGATACTAGCAACGTCGGTAACGACTGAACGAGATGTCACATACACGCTATGGAACATCCGAGAATTAAATCCATATGGTCAGTCATGGCCTGGAACTGTCCATCACTTGTCCACACCTTCGACCATGTCTCTTTACAAGACAACTGGTAACAGTATCAGAGAGATATTCAAGAGAGTTGATGTGCTCATCTGGAGAACCTATGCTCCCCTTGTGAAACCTGTATTCGTCTCCAGACCATCTCCGGGCAAGGTGTTGCAGTGTAGCGAAATCACAGCTAGTTCCAAGTAAGGATGAATCCATGCCTACACATTGTAGTATCTCCCTTGATACTAGAACCACGTGTTGTGCAAGGAAGAGGACGTGAATTGAAGTAATGCACGAGAAGGCTTTACTCAATCAACGTACCATTACATTCGGAACGGATGGACCAAACTTTTTATTTACATGTCCTTGCAAGCTGTGCTCAAACCTTTTCAGGCGTGAAAATGTATAAAATGTTCATGTGTCAAGTAAAGCATGAGTGTGTGGCCTTCTTTGTCACGACAAACATATATGGAACCATTTCTACCTGCACATCCTAAATTCCAAAAGGATAGACACATTAATGGCTTGTTTTAGAAAATGTATAACGGTGTTTACCTTTATGTGTACGTGTATATTATAAAACGGTGCTGTCATCTTTATCAACTGCCCGGATAATGACAGTGTTTGACCGAAAAAATACAAAGGTTGTCAAAACGTTACTTGGCTAAAAACAGTCGCCAAAACACTTCAAACCCAACTGTGATACCGGTATCAACGTCCAAAAGTATTCGTTGTTTGTTTCAATTTTTGCCACCATCAAACTGGGTGTATACTTTCTTTTGCCCGGCAGTTTATATAGTGAGTTCACCTTTTAACTATGTTTCTACTCGGTTACATGACTTAAATGACGTGTGATACTCAATTCGAACAATATGCCATCTGTAATGGTGTAGTGTTTTGTGAAATGAAATACTCTATAATGAAGTACTACCAGGAAAGGAAATCCCGCAGACGCAACCTTGAAATTGAGACAAAAAGTTGTCGATTGCGGAAGTGAACTTTGAACCCAATTATTTTCTAGTTGACGGTGTTAGGATGAGTTGAGCTTGTTGGTGATGTGCAGAATAGTTAACCACAATACACGAGGTATCAGGGGTGATTATGAAAAACCTTCTTTTGGTCAATGCAAACAACATGATCATATCTGCTTGTATGGTAGAGAGGTGCTCGATTGTTTCTATATGCATGAAAGATTTGAAGACTTTAATAATTAAGCTTATTCGTGCCATTATTTGGAGATAAAAAGTGGAAACAACTTTGAAGAGGTTCTCGTAATAGTCCGCATCAGATGGGGTTAATTGGTAAAAGATGACCCTATGTATTATCGGAAAATAGACTACCAAATAATTTCAAACAGTTGAAAATAAAAATTAGTTTAAAACGATTACACATAAAGGCGAGGTTATATATAAAATGAATTCAAACATATATACTTCACAAACTAATCTACTGACGTCAGGGAAACTTCCCTCTTGTCTGCTTGACCCTGCTACTTTGAATGATATTTGAAATAGAGAAACATGCTCGCATAACATAGAAACTTAAAGCCAGTTCTTACCTTGTGCATGTACTGACTGTTCCAGTAGCGACAGTAATAACGTTATCGTACACAACACCTCCGACAACTGCATGATTAGGGTGTGGTCACTGCTGCTGTCCCGATGGCGAGACTGTCACATATATCCTCGACGTCCAGCGTATGTGGTAACTGGTAGCTGGAGAGAAACAGTCGCTTGGGTCCACGTGCTAATACCGGAAGTAGGTGGGACGATGAGAATGGAGGCCAAACACCCCGGATGTCGATCCTTAGGAAACGGCGCAAGTAGCTGAGTATTTAGCTGCCGTTCCAAAACGTCTCTGCTGCCCTAATTAGAGAGTTGTATATATATTTCTCGTTTTCCTCTAACATTATCCTTGTTCCCCTCCCCCCTCCCCCCATTCTATTGAATTCAAGTTGTAATAGATTGGGTTTATTTAGTGTTTAGTTTCTATTCTATATGGAACAATTGTTACAGCAACTGACAAAAAACTGTTCTGGTTGTAACAGTGCACTTTCATAATATATTTCTACAAAGAAAATGATACAATTTGAATGAACAAAACCCGATTTTATTGAATCTTTCAAAAGATCCGATGAAATGATCTGTTGGAATACTTACATATATTTACAAGTCCCGCGAGCAACCATGTTAGACAAAACAACGGAAGCCCATGAAATTGGGTCACATGATGGTCCTGATAATCTTCTTGGCGGAATTAACCCATTTTGAATAATGATGAATTCCTGTCACGTGACTACTTGAGCGAAATGTGAACACACAGACAGTGAACAAGGATGCCAGTACGGGCAGTTTCATAACCGCGAGAGGACTATCCAATATTTAGCCACACACCAACACACCCACACACCGACATCCCCCCTCTCCCTTCACACACACACATATATATAAAGGTGGCAAAAAGGTGATAATATAAGTATTAGATGAACCTGGTATTTTATTTTTTTGCTGAAAACATTATGGATGAACAAAGACGTACATTATTACGGATTACAAAATACGAAAAGAAAGCTTTTCACATGAAAGCATATATTTCTATTAAAAATATTTAAAACAATTCTGGGAATGGTTATTTCATTCCACAAAACCCAAACCAGCCTTGAGACCTATAATAGAACCTACTTGTTGTTCATACAACACAAACTTTAAGCGGAAAGTTTGTGGTACATGCTTCCTGACGACATCAGATATGACAGTAAAATAATATTTTGGTCGGACTACCAGTTGGAACCGTTTCCTGGATATTGCTTGGTGGACATCAAGACTTGAGTGTTCTTGAGATACTGTATCTGCTGTCAGGCGTATACAGTAAGACATCGAACATTCGTCTCCAGGTGTTTTGCAGTTCATCATATCAATATGGGCCTGTGATGTAAGGAACATTTAATCGGTCGATGTTCAAGCAGATCTCAAGCGATTCCGCATTGTCGTATAGTGGACTACATTCTCAAAAACAAGGTGGACTTACTTCATTTATTTCAATTCGACGTTGCAGTGCATATTCTAGTACCATGTATTATTCCATATCAATGTATTATGGTCCGTGGACCTGTCACTGAATATATTGTCTGTCTGTCTAATACCATTATGAAGCAAGTGATCAACAGCTGGTTGGATATGGTTGTATACCTGTTTTAAACATATTTATTTCACAGAATGTGTGAAGCTGGATTGGTAAACAAGTACTTATGTCAATACCTCTCCGGTTGTCATACAATGTCATCAATTATAATGTACATTCAGGGGTCAGTGAAAGAAAATTATTTGCATAAAAACACAGTTGTCGACTCTGAACGTGCAGAAGGAAAACGCCAAAAATCAGTTAAATGTTACATATGGTTATTTTCCTGTGATGATATCTGGTTCAACTATACACCACCACAACAACAACAATATGTTAATAAAAGTCTATATTTTGCTACCTATGGAACAGTAGACAGGATCATATATACTGTATACTGTACAAGAAATATCTTAGAAGACAGCTTTGTCAATATATTTATTGACCATTTCATGAAGACAACTTTTTATGGGTAGAGGCATGCCCGTCACAATCACTCAGGCATTACGGTTAATCCCTTCAACAAGTTGGGACAAGTAAGTGGGAATGAGCCTCAATGATGACAGGGGATGAAGCCACGGGACGAAGCCTGTAACAACAAGGTGGTTGTGTTTGCAGCGTGTAGTGAACACTCTATTGATGCTGTCAGGTACAGAGACAAGACTATATCCTCGCCTCATTTCTATTAGGACTCCACTGAAGGTTATTTTTCTCGTACATGTGATATACAGGCATCATATTCCGGGATATATGTCACTCCCAGTCTTTGATACCTGGTGAAATCTGTTACATTCCGTAGATGCAGATGCAGATGCAGATGCAGATGCTGATGCGGATGCAGATGCTGATGCTGATGCTGATGCAGATGCAGATGCAAGTCCCTACGAGCACATATTGGTGCCGTCATTCAAAGTATTTCTATGTCTACCATTGTTACCTGGACTATTTGGCTTTTCGTCAGTTTTCCTCTTAACCATCAAACAATCTAGCAGTTAGAGGATGTAATTCCTGCCGGGAACTTTGCAGTTAGAAGCTATGGCAACAACCCGTCACATCTCTGCTTGTCGAGTCTCGCCGCCGAACCATTTCTTATGTTGAAATGCAAGCGCCTCTCACTAAATAATTGCACAATAAACTACAAATCGTTCAGGTAGGTCGGATCCCGTTCACCTGCAAATCGCGCTCTCCTACCCCATACCCGATATGACATTTGTAATGTGTAGCAAGATAGCATTTTGATCTGACGCATGAAAAGAAGCAATGATATCCACTGGGTTCAATATTACATAGTTATACCAAGTGTTGCTCATGATATCAACCATTGGTATGCATTTGCCAGATTGGATTATTTAAGTGATAAACGGAACTATTAATGACTGTTGTGTACGACCACAGAAAAAACAAAACTTTTAATGAAAGCACTGGGTATGCTGGAGAAATGTTCCTTTAACGCCATAGAAACCATGATATCAAATCAATAAGACATGCCAAAAACACAAATGCACTGTAAAAATGAGTTCGAACGTGAACACATACAAGACATGTGTTTAAAACCTAAACGGAATACACATTTAGTGTATTTTATTTAAACACATTTAGGGTCCAAAGACAAAATGAGCTGTCGTCTCACAGCCTTAACAGCAGCTAAACACAACATTTTGCAAAAGGTTGTTTGTTCAATGTGTTTAATGCAATCTAACTGGCATGTGGCCATGTCGATATAATGTCTTGTCCTGGTCGGTAGTAGCTGAGTCTCTTTTGCAAGATGTGAATAGTGACAGTTTACATGAGATAGATTAAGCTTAAAAGATATCACGAGGAAACTCTGAACATATAGCAAGGCAAAACACATCATACAGGGTATTTACAAACTTTGATATATACTACTGTTATAAGGCAGTGTAATATATTGTTAAACAATGTTATAATTGTATTACACTGTTTCTGTTGAGATTGGGTTTTGACAATGATGAGTTGTCAGGAATGTAGTACTATCTAATGTAAGCCGTGGCGTGGAAGTTGCTATATTTAGATTCGTGTGTAGCCAAGTGTATTTTAGAATCTTCTGCAATGTTCTGGTACAGTTAGAGTATTCCAGTACTGTAAAGAACCTTCCTAAGGGGGCATAAGCGTGCCTCTCGCATCTCACATTAGATCTCACATTACATCAAGACCAGCTTTTGTTGGAAGATCATTGTTTTCACCTGAATAGCCAGACTAGGCCTATTTTGGAAGCTTGACCTCTGTTAGGCGAATACTATTACCACTTCTATCATATTTTATATTGCCATTGTACTTGTACTGCCATTGGATTTGTACTGCCATTCTATTGAGTACTGTCATTGTAATTGCTGTGCAGTAATTTGATCTGATTTGTAAACCTAGTTAATTTTATAATATAATTGTTGTATACCATTTCATTTTTTCTCGTTGGCTTCACACTAACTTCTTTCATATTTACATATTTCTGGGTTAACATATTGTTTCAATTTGGTAGTCGACACGTAACACTACCGGCAATAAATAAGGGAACTAATGAAATGATAGTGACGCTTTCATGACGATAAGCGTTTGTAAAAATAATATCGGGCGTGTAGATCAATATCTGATGTGTGTTCCATGTTGGACGATGCATGCACGACACTGTGATGGCATACTGTTGATTAACTTGCGTATGGTTTCCCTTGGTATTGACCCTGATTCCGCCTAAAGAGCTACCTCAAGCTTAGCCACGTTTGCGGGAGCTGGGTCTCTAGCTTCCACTCTCCGACCGAGAACATCCCACAGATGCTCTATTGGGGACATGTCAGTGGAGAGCGGGTCATTCCAATGTTTGCATGCTTTCGGAGATTGCCGGTGACAGCCTGAGCACGATGTGGTCTGACAATGTCATCTTGCAGTTCAACATTTCTGCCGATAATTCAAGGGAAAGGAACAACGACAGGATCGCTGGCTACTCAAATGCCCATTCGCAATAACCAAAGCCTCACTCCATGACACAACCGGCTCCATACCGATCATGGTAAACACATTTTGCCCTGGCATACCGCTAGCCGCTACTTCGCCATCAACGTTTTTTGCCATCTGTGGATCGGATTGGTCTGTAAACATGTTACACCATTGGCTTTGCCTAGCCCACCCCAATCTTTGCCGCCTTTTGCCTGTTTTCACACTTTCGCCATCTTGGATCGAAAACGAGGCTTGGAGAGCATAGCTCCATGCAGTGTGAGTCGCATCAGCTGATAGGGAACAGAGAGCATGTTGTGAAGGGGAACTCCATGTCCCTGTGTTTCACTGATGGACATTTCTAACAAAAAATGGTATCCTCTGTATCTAATACAGAAGATATTGCACATTTAATCCTGAGGTCCAACTAAAATATGCCTGTAATACACTGGAATTCGCATTTCGCTGTCAGGATCCCGGAAGTGAATCGAAAGGTGCATTTCGAGATACGTATTTCCGAAATAGATTGTTTCATCATAACCTCGTCGACATATGGGCACAATGTGATAGTATATTCAATGACAGACGTTTTGTATCGTAAATGAACTGCATAATATGAAACACGTCCGTGTATTTTGCTAGTTTGCTCAGTCAACGCGTGGATTTGCGAGATCGTCGATCATGTTTATCTCACGTTTCATAGTGGTGTTTGCTGCACCATGCATTATCGTTTTGCCATGAGTCCAGTTGACATAAGGCACTGTTTCTGCTATG